ACGCGAAGCACTACACACCGACTGGTGATTTGTGAACGGGTTTTTTTTTGGGGGGGTAGGGTACTAGGGTTACCGAAGTAGCTCCTAGGCAAAGTTTGTAAAGTTTCCGTCTGAAAATCGCAATAGGGCTATGCTGCTTCCACAAGTACTGCCTCTCAACAAGACTAGGCCAGATAACCGCCTTGCTGGACTTGCGTTTCCTGTACTAACGCAAGAACGTTTCCGTACGCTTTGGCTTTTTGGGGCCTAGGGACAACTAGCTCTGTTCACTGTGATCTACCGGTTCAATCTTCCACTGCGCTCAACCAAAGCGTTCTACCTAGCTAGCGCCTAACTTGGTGTTTAGGTCGAAACTAGCGCAGCCTCTGCGTTGCCAATGCGAAGTAACCGCGCAGCCAATGCAACGGATAAGTCTTCCTTCCTAGCGCGTGTGGCCCTCGTAGATTTTTATACGTGGAGCAACGAACTGCCTCTTGTTCCAACGCGAAACTTAGTTGTTTATACTTGCACTGGTTCTCAGAGATATTCAACTGGAAATGTCACTCCGAAAATAGCCAATCAAAAACCAAGGTTCGATTCTACAGACAATACAGATACAGAGGAAAACTATGTTATTCTCTCCGCAGATCGCCCGAGGACACCCACACCGTTCTACGATGAGCGGGGATGAACTGAGCTATAGCGGCTTTTTCTGGTTCTTTTTATACTACTGAGTCCTTTGAGATGAGATAAGATGAAATGAGTAATGGAGTGGTGGTGTTTGGTCGTTCGGCAAGCAAGAAAACGCTGCCGAGGTGATTCGTAATTGCGGCCAGATGAAACAGTCAGCGTTGCTGATGCTTTCCTTGGCCTAGGTGGGTCTGGTATTTGCAATGACTGGCTGCCGACTGCAGCCGATCATGCGTCATTCTTCCGAGGCGGTTCCGCGTCGCCTAGCACACTCATTCATGTCTTGTCATCCTCCGATAATGTCCATTTGTTCGCGGTCTGAACTTCTTAGCAAGGTTACATCTCCCCATCGTTGCCAATCGTCTCCATTTGGCTTTCCCGGGGGCCGTTAGGCTAGTCCTTCTAAAATAGTCAGGTATAATCTGTTCCTAGGTACTGTGCGTTCTTTCCTAGGAGACTGGCTATCGTTTCCGATCTGTCTTCCTTGGTAGCAATTGCGTAACCAATGGCCCTAGGACCCTCGTCCTTGGCATCTACTTGGTTATTGCCGAGTTCTGTCCTCCTAGGCAAATGCTAGGTTCCTCTTTGTGCAGTCATTGGCTCTATATTTATAGATCCCTTGTTGTACTCCGTTCCTAGGCAGGAATATCCTCCTTGATAATGTACTTCAGATCCTGGTCTCGCTTGTAACTGCGTGCCTCAGTCTCGTTCATACTACAACCAGCAGTCGGAGCTCGCTCTGGTTCTCCTTTGTACCACCTGACAGAGTTCTGTTGATACAGAAGCTAGCTTTGTCTTCCTAGGAACACTAGTGTAACTAGTGGCTTAAAAAGCGCAAAGTTTAGCTAGATGGCAGTGCCTTGGTGTGGCGCCGTTTCAGCGTTACAAACATCGAGCACAAAAAAAAGGACGGAACTCAATGCCCATCACCCGACCCCGAATCGAACGGGGGCCTCCCGTTTAAATCTCAAAAGGAGAAGGTGAATTGAAAGTGGGGGCACACCATGTGCTATCGGGTGGTTGGGACTACTTACTCAAAGGTATGTGTACCAAGGTGAATTTTGGCGTGGAATTAAAGTTGAACAAGCACCAAAAAAGAGGAAGGGGCTTATTACCCTATCACCCGACCCCGAATCAAACGGGGACCTCCCACTTGAATTCTAGAATTGAAAGTGTTCGTTGAAAGTGGGTGCACACCGTGTACTACCAGGTGGTTGGGACTGCTTGTTGAAGATGTATGTATCACGGCAAATTTTGAACAACGAGCACCAAAAGGAGGAATGGACTCATTGCTTATCACCCGACCCCGAATCGAACGGGGACCTCCCACTTAGATTGCATGAACTGAAGTGTGCATTGAAAGTGGGTGCACCATGTTCCTCGAAGCGTGTACATCCCATTAAAGCCATCAGGTGGTTGGGACTACTTACTTGGAGGTATATGTACCGAGGGGAAATTTCGGGTGGAATCCACGTTGAATGACAAGCCCCAAAAAATAGGAAAGGATCCAATGACCATCACCCGACCCCGAATCGAATGGGGACCTCCCACCTACGTAGCAAGGGAGTGAAAAAGTATTGAAAGTGGGTGCACACCATGTGCTATCGGGTGGTTGGGACTACTTGTCGAAGGTATGTGTACCAAGGCAAATTTTGGCGTGGATTCGAAAGATGGTTGAATTCCTGGCTGCCTTATTCCTCCTGAAGTCTTAATGTGAGAAAACCTTCCAAAAGAAGTCCTCTTGAACAATTTGATAAAAGGTCAACATGCACTCGAACCCGGTAAGAGTTGAAGAAGATCTTCCTACCGCTTTGCAGTCAAACAGAGCCAAAAAAAAAAAAAATTAACCCAATTTTCCCCATCACCCAACCCCGAATCGAACGGGGGCCTCCCACTTGAAGTTTTCGAACAGAAAATGTGAATTGAAAGTGGGTGCACACCATGTGCTATCAGGTGGTTGGGGCTGCTTGCTCGAAGGGTGTACCAGGGCAAATTTCGAAGTGGAATCAACGCTGGCCGACAAGCACAAAAAAGAGGAGCGGACGACCATGAATCGAACGGGGATTTCTTACAGGGTATTGTGAATGATGCCTACCATGTGCTGTCGAGTGGTTGGGACTACTTGCTCGAAGGTACATGTACCAAGGCAAATTTCGTGTGGAATTAAACATAGTGCCGTGCTCGCATTCAAAACGATTGCACGAAAAGCTCGCATTCAAAACGCGGAAGTGTATTGTGCTGGGATATAAGCGGGGTACAAAGGCCTATCGACTGTGGGACGGTAACATCATTTTGTTTCAAGTGGTTTCTGAGTGAATTCACAATGTATGTCAAAATACAACATCTGGAGCCCCCCCGCCTTCCCCTTCCCCTTGGAATGAATGTATGACAATGTATTTTTGCGGGCCATCAACTCGCTTGGGATTCGATCAATCCTTTGACAGAATTACGGCGACGCTGACGTTGCACGAGTCCTCCCATCGCGATCACGAGGCGGGCTTGGAGTCTTTGCGTCTTTGCCGTCTTCGCCACAACTTCCACGGCCCATCCAGAGACCAGTCCTCAGGCAAATGGATCAATGGAGAATCGTCCTTCTAGGTGAGCGCGACGCAGGTAAAACTGAGTTAGCCGTTCAGGTCAGCAGCATTCTCGCCTGTCTCCCTACTTCCAGGACTAATTTGAAACTCCACAGTTCACCCTCAATTGTTACAGTGAGCTGCAGTCTTCAACCTGGCCCCCTTCTTCTGATTGCTTATTAAATTGCTCCCTTTTACAGCGGTACTTTCTCCGCACTGTCAGTGTCAAGTATCAGTGAATAATGGTCGCACAGACAAGTTACGATCCAACGATTGAAGACGCCTATCGCAAACAGTTTATAGTAGACAATCGCATGTGTTTCGTGGAGTTGATCGATACTGCCGGTCAAGGTATGTCGTGCTTCCATCGTGCATAGATTGCCATGCATCCAATGCGACATCTCCAGACGAGTACACGACACTGCAAGAACAATGGATACGGTGTGTACCTAGTTGAACAAGTTTCACTGATTAACATTTCACAGAGAAGGCCAGGGATTTGCACTGGTCTACTCAATCGCATCGCGGTCAACGTTCGACCGGCTTGAAGTCTTCTATCAATCGATGCAGCGACTAAAGGGAAATCCAGTCTTCATGCTGGTCGGAAACAAATGCGACAAAACCTCTGAGCGCGAGGTGTCAAAGGATGAGGGAGCAGCGCTAGCGCGACAGTTTGGCTGTGAATTCATTGAGACGTCAGCTAAAACGGCCCAAAACGTGGAGCGGGCCTTCACAAATCTCGTTCGTGAATTACGACGCGCGAGATACCCAGAACCACACATACCGTTGAAAGAGAAGAAGAAGTGCCTCATTTTGTAGGAGGGGTTCCCAGGATACAGTCGAAATCCTCCAAACTTGTAGTCCTCATAACCCATAAGTCCTTGTAATCCATACATTTTGGGCATTCACATACCTTGTTCGCAGTAGAATCCCACAACATTCTGTAACCCCATACCCATAGAACCCATACATAGAGCATGTGTAAGCGGTTTCGCGACCCAAAGTCGCAGTAATAACGGATAATGGCTTGGCTTACTATACGACAGATGTTTCCACATGAAGGTCAAGCAGGTTCAGACGATCCCGTCTTTCTTCCGGGTCCTCCGCCGACGCAAATTCAACAAGAAGACTTGATGTCAAGTACCGCCTTTCATTTTATGGACGCGATCTCTTCGTCTCTCTGACATGGCTTCATGAACAAGTAAATGCAACTTACGCAAGATACCGTGGCCGTCCAAAAGAACACTATGATCGATGCTATCTTCCCTCCCTTCTCAACTTCTTTCAAAGATAAAGGGGACCCGGAGAGAGTTAACATCTCGACTCCGTTCAATCACATCACCCCCAGTCCATTTTATCACGCCAACGGCACGATGAGTATACGAAAATAGGCACTCTGTGGGAATGTATACAAATCCTCGAGGAGGAACGACGCAATGGGGCTCAAGAAGATCTGCCAGTTTTGAGGGTTCGGGTTGGAGCGGGTTGGCGCTTCCCAGCTCCTTTTGATTCATTCTCTCTATTTCGTGTTGAATCAATATCACACGGAAATCGTCTGTCGGGGTTTCTAATGACGGTCTCAAATCACGCCCGACATACCATGATGCCTGCGCGATACGAGATTTTGGAAATGTCGGGTCGACAATCCATAGTGATAGAACCCGTTCAGCAAGGGACTTGGAGCATTCGGGAGGAGTAATCCTCCGATACAAGTCCTCCGATGATCAAGACGTATTAATAGCGGGGCACTGCCATGGCCGCCTGGCGAAATGGCATCGCGTCTGACTACGACAGGGTTCTAACCTGTAATAAGCTGGAATCAGGAGATTGCAGGTTCGACCCCTGCGGTGGTCATCTTTTCGACTGTACGCGAAGGTTCTTTTATGTGTTCCATTCCTACTTCTTGCTGCAGAAACACATTGGCAAGTTTCCACAATTTTCTTTGTTTCTCCCTTATTTTTATCCTCGCTTCTAATTTCTAGTAACATTTCCGCCGCGTCGGCCTCCTCCTATCGTATTGAGGACATATGATGGTGTTTCAGGCGAAGCAGCTTAATTTTTTGAGGCTGTATTGACGGGGCGCGAACGTTACCGAACATTATTGATCAATCGTTTGATGAGATCAAAAAAAAAAAAAAAACATCTGCGAACAAACCGCAACACTCCCTATAAGAAGACATTTATTAGATACTCTCCGGTTTCTGACCTGCGAGATCCTGGTCTGGCAGCATGCAGCGGCTGCGCCGAATCGTAAGAAATTGGAGAATCCCTAAGCCGTAAGAGACATGCCAGAAAAGATGAACCAGTATTGGCCGGAACATGGGTCCTTCATAATCTGCACACTAGGGCCTAAGGACTCCAAGTCCAGAGTTTGAGTATCGGGAGGAGTATACAAGTTCAATTCCAACTGAACCGAAGCGGGCGGATCACGAATCGCGATGGCGGCCTGTCATTCCGGGCCGAAACAGGAATATCGTCCGATAGGGGGTCGCGACTTGGTGTTTACCTCACACACCGGTCGCTCCACATTTATTTCTTCGGATGTGACGACAAAAGCTACATCGCCTATACTGCGCATTTCCGAGATGGTGATGCTTCACAGATGCAGACCCCGGGCCTGGTCCCGATACGACGACACTTGCGGCCCTCAACATCCTTCGCGAAGATCTACAGGGATTAGATCTAAGTGTTTCTCATGAACGGGGCAGAGGCGTCGGACGCTGTGGAATTTTTCAATTAATTCGGCGATAGCCAGTGCATAACTCCTCTAATCTTGAATTCATTCCTGTTGGCCTTCAAGTTGATATTGATTCAAATTTTTGCGGTCTAGCCTCTCGCGAGGTAGTCTCCCTACTCAGACCATTTTTTTTTGGGGGGGGGGAGGTGGAGAGTGGGAAAAAAAATTACTCGGGAGGTAACTGCGCCATAAGTGGCAGTGCATCTCGGCTGAGCGGCACCCTTGCGCTCATCCTTCCTTTGTTGCTTCCTTGGCAATTTTGCTTGCTCTGTTGTCCATCAACCCTTATTGCTGTGAAGCTTGCGCGCGTATCTCCATTGACCGTCCTGTTCTCGAGCTCCGCTGGGACCTTTGAGTTCGTTGCAAGTTTGTCAATTCGTGGCATATTCGCAGTGCAGCTGACGGTACTACTAGTATCCTACTTCCGTCGGCTTCGTCCGCTCGCTCTCCAGAGCATTCGCATGTGCCGATGGTCCGAGCTTCGTATATCCTCCTCCTCTCCTCTGTCTGCTTATTTGCAGCCTGCCGATTCTCAGATGTTCCTGTCCCGATGCTCTCAATGTGGTGCCAGTCAGGGCCCTGACCGATTGGAGCTTGACGTTGCGGGACCTGGGACGAGGCATCACATCCTCTTGAACTCCAATGAAGCGCCCGTTGAATCTGAAGTCGCAGTTATCAGGGCGGAGTTGACGACGTCAGATGCCCGCCTGGTGTTTCTCGACAACGAAATAGCGCGTCTCCGAGGACAGCTGGAACAGCTGCAAGAACAACGCACGTCGGTGTGGAGCTATCGGGCACAGAATTGCTCAATCCTGTCTGGACTCCGCAGGATTCCTCCCGAGATCCTTGGATACATTTTTTCCTGGACATTGCCCGCAATCGGCGAGCTACTACCTGCCACGGAGTCCCGCCTCACGAAAAGCCCGTGGGTCCTATCTCACGTCAGCTGCTATTCGCATTCAGCCGCCGGATAGCCGGGGCCCCGGCTAGCTATTCTTAGCTTCGGCTAGCTGAGGCTATGTTCGGCTAGCCGGCCAGCTAGCCGCATCAATGGCCCGCTTCGTCTAGCTCTCGGCGAGCTGACCCTCGGTAGCCGTGGGCAGCTGCGGCTAGCCGGCCGACTAGCCGAACATAGCCTCAGCTAGCCGACGTCAGCGGCGAGGCGTCCCGGTGGCTATCCCACCCTTGAATGCAGTGATTGGCGAGCAGTTGCGCTCTCAGACGCTTCCCTCTGGTCACTTGTGACAGTCACCTACGACGATCCGAGGCCACATGACCCATTATCCATGGTTGAAACACAAGTCGGCCGTGCTCAAACATTGAAGGTTCACTTCTATGGGTGCGAAACATTCGATCATCAACCCCAAGTCGAGATGTTCCTCTATCTGGCACGATACGCTCCACAGTGGGAGGAACTCAGTGTTGGGTTAACTCCGCACCTAGTTCCTCTCCTCGGCATCCTGCGAGATCGGGTCCCACTCCTGCGCAGATTTTATGTCCAATGGCAGTCGGACTCCGGATCCACGGTGATACCTCTGGAGTGCTTTCAAAACGCTCCATCCTTGCTTGAAGCCCGCGTATTTAGCGACTTTCGTTATATCCCGGTTCCATTTCCGGCACACCAACTCACCCAATATCAACTTGACTTCCCTTGGGAAACGCATGCAACTATTCTCAAAGAGGCCGTAAATCTCATAGAGGCCCGCATCTTCGTCGACTTTCAAAACACTGAAGACTGGCGAAATTCTCGCGCAGTCCTCGATTTGACCTGCCTCCGACGTCTCTTTATATCCCATCCAGAGATCTTGGAATTCCTCCGGGTCCCCGTGCTGGAAGAGATTACCATTGATTTCGACGAAGGTGCAGGTCCGGAAATTCTTCGTGATTTGCAATTGGTGGTATCCCGCTCGTCATGTATTCTGCGGAGGCTTTGCCTCTGGGGCTTCGACCTCTGGACGACCACCGAGATACTGCGACAATTCCCGTCCATCGTCGAGTTCCCAATCATCGCTACCACGCATAGCGGCGGTGAGTTGGCCGAAACACTCATGAAGCGCCTTACCGTCCACACAGACAGCGGCAGTGAGGTCATGGCCCCGCAACTACGCTGTTTATCATTCGCATGCGAATACGAGGCTTTCACCAATCACCCCATCTACATGGACATGGTAGCATCGCGTTGGAGGACAGGCGGTCTCAAAACTTCCGAACTCCTTGTGGATTCAGGTCCCCTTCCTGACGCCGACGTGCGCAAAAGTATCGCAGTGCTTTGTGAAGAAGGGTTGGATCTTGTTTTCCTTGAAGGAAAGGACGCGGAGAGCGCTATCGCTGGTTGGACCTTCCATGCAACGTGGAACTGATTCTACATTCCCCTGTGTATCGTCTCTCGTTCAAGTCTTTCCATACATAGCTTTTTACCAAAAATATTCAGCCACTCAGCTTACTGTTACTGCGCGTGAACACTTTTGTCATCTGAGTTTTCCCTATCCCATGATTCGCCATAGTTTAAATCCACATCCTTTGCGCGCGGGGCGCATTGGATGACAGGCTGCGAAACACGGACCATCCGAATCTTTGGTTAGTACTTCGTTTCGTTTGGGATGCTCCTTATTTCTCCATAAGTACTCATTCTGAGTTTTTGGTCAACAACTGCGAGATCCTAAACGTTCTCTAGATGGGTTCTATGGTAAATCTAGATCATCCCGTCTCGTCTCGGATATTTTACTGTTAGTTGGAAATCACTCGAAGCTGCGAGAACGCTCCCTCAATTATGCCCACTCAAACGACTGCTCCCCAAGCTCGCTCGAATCGTCGGCTGGCCAAAAAAGTTAGGACTCGTCATTCGGGAGGAAGACGGAACGCGAGAACACCTACCAATAATGTCGAAATGCGACATATCTGCTTGCAACAACAAATCGCGCACGCTCATGCTTGGGCCTTCGCCGAACTCGTCCTCCGAGTCCTCCGAGTCGTGGAACTGATACGGGTGTTTCGCGTAGGGCGACAACGGCACGGTATGCACCGTCGAACGCGAGGCAGGCGATGTCCTCGTGAGGGGTCGCGGAGTCGCCGTTCCAAGCTACGTCCATTATTCAGAATGAATGGAGTTGGATGGATGAATGAAGAATCACGTACGTCGCTTTCGCCGCCCTCAGCATCATATTCTTCTCGCGGAGGGTTGAACGACGCTGCTAGTGAGCGGTCTATCGCCAACGCGGAGTTGGTTGAATCGTGTTGTTCGGCTCCCAGTCGTCTATTGAGGTCGTGTTCTAACCTGGGCTTCACCGTTTCTGGCGCGGGGTACGTCTTCGTCATTGACCGCCTCGCCGATGAGGCTTTGAAATTCGATCTAGGCGGCGTTCGCGGCGGTTCACGACGCGTCGTCGCCGTCACCAACTGCGGGGGCGCAGGGATTGGCGGGTATTTTGGAAGCAGGTTCTCCCGGAGTGCAGTCACCCGGGCCCTGATACCACTCTTGTCCGAGCCCTGCGCGCCAAACGATTCACCGTTGTCAGGCGTCACCTTTTCCAATAAATATGAGTGTCGTCAGCCAGGCTGATTGAAAGAACGAGACCCGAAACATACCTCAAAATCGATATTACTTATCTTTTCCGCAGCCTGCCACAGATTCAGTCTTTCCTGGACCTGGTGGAATGTACGCCTCGAGCTCGGGATAGACTTTTGTCGAGCGGCCGCCGTACGCGTACGCGCAAGTGCATCACTGAGTGCCCGGCCCATGTGCGCCTCGGCCTCCAATATCTCAGAGAGCGCATGAGCTCGTGAGGGGCCTTTCGAGGCCGCAGACGAGGGCGTATCGACCAGAGCCTGTTTCGGAAACACCCGCTTAGTAATTTTGCGCAGGTTGGCGGGGTGGTGGGCTGCTGCGATGGGGAGCGGTGGCGGCGGAATTGGAAGTGGATCCTGAAAGAGAAGAAAGAGAACGATATCAGGGAATTGAAGATCGAGAGGAATAGATATTGCGGACTCTGGGCGCCTCAGAAACGAGCTGAGGGTTTTTGGAATCTGCTGAAGCCTCCGATGGCGCGATACCAGACAGGTCCGCGAGGAACTTGAGCGCGACACGACCGCCCGCTCCGGCCAACGCCGCACTGCTGAG